ATATTACATGGTAGAGTTTGTCCGGAGCAAGCCAAGGGTCTTCTCCACCGCCGCCATTAAATTGCATCTCCATCTTATGGAAAGAAGCTTTTTCGCGTTACGAAATTGGGGAAAAGGAGAAGACTTTGAAGAAAGGAAGAAAATCAAAAGAGATTTAGAGGAAAGAGAGAATGATAACGTACCTTTGACAAACTCGAAATCGTTGCTTGAGATTATTTGTATCTCGAAGTGGAGAAGATGATGATCAAAACATAAAACATACTCTTTTCTTTTAACTTCGTTGAATGCAACTTGATAACATCAAACGTGACAAATATTACACACCAAACAGGTCTTTGAATTTACATTGTTTCGAAAGGAAAGTTTCCAATTAGAGAAATGAAACTGGACAACAAGTTCACACAAACAGAAACCAAATTAAGAACTTGGAGGAGGACGCAGTCACACTGGAGGTGAGGAAATCAAACCAGAGAGAGGGATAGAGGAGGTAAGGAAAAGTACCATATATGTGATAAAATGTTGATATCTTCATCCTTTAAACAGAACCAGGAGTTCCTGGATACAAGATGGCAGCTTCGGGCAGCTCTGGACAGGAATTAGCACTGAATTGTCTCAGGCTTGGAAGAGCAGGAGGATCCAAGCAGATTCTCTCTAGTTTATCCAAATGATCTACGTGAAAGAATTCCAGTTTCCCAAAGGGTTCAACTAAATCTGGCTGCGCATTGGTATAGTTCATTTCTTTCTCTTTATTTATTATTTCTTCAATATTTGGTGAATACGCCACAATTAGATACCTGAGATTTGGAGCAAATAACAGCCAAGTCAAATCCTTTGGATATTCCACACCGATTATGTGAACTCTGTAGAGCTGCTTGAAGTCTGGAGACGTGCTTTCCCCCAGTATTGTGAGTTCAGGGATACTACAGACTATGATTTCACGGCGTTCAAGGCCAGCCAGCGCTACCATGCTTAATACAATCGGACCTGTGATTTTTTTGAGACATAGACCTCGAAGAATACTTCTCAAACGTTCATCTCTTTGTATACTTATCAAAATCAAAGGATCATTTACGGTTGCTGTTAGAAGATTCAAATGCTTCATATGTTGTAATTCTTCCATTAAACTGCCATCAATACAAACACCGGAAGTCATGAACCTCAATACTTGAAGCTTTGGTAAGCTTGTTGCTATCCCAGTAATACTCTGAAGCTCCAAAGTACACTCCAGATTCAAGTTGATTAGTTTCTTCAACGCCTTCAGACCATCTGGTAACCATTGTATCCCTGTATATGATAAGTTGAGGTATTGCAAGGACACTTAACTTTGAAATTTTCTCCGGCAATCCAGAAAGACTGTTCATCGAAAGATTCAAGACCACAAGTGCTGGCATAAACTGAAAGAATTCGTCTGGAATTTCCACAAACATGTTATTATTGAGAAGTAGGGTCAAAAGGTTGGGGCATTTGGAACTACCGGTGCCAGATATCTCTTCAATCTGATTTCTCATCAAAGAGATCTTCATAGCAACTTCCCAATTTATGTTGTTTGGTATCTGACGTAACTGAGCACTGGATTGCACGCAAAGTGTTTCTTTCTCTGTTCCAAAGTTAGACGATATCCAAAGAGCCATCTCGCGCATCACATCATGCATTTTCACTCTCCATGAGAAAAAACCTTCCATCAATAACTGTGAACGAACTAACGAACCAATTATAGCATGACCTTGGTCATAACCTCCATCATCTCTATTTCCATCTATAAATCCTTCGCATATCCAATATTGTATTAGCTCCTCCTTCTCTACTTCATAATCTTCCGGAAACAATACGCAATACCGGAAGCATGACTTGACTTTTTCATCCTTTAAACTATCATAACTGAACTTCAAAATGGCAAAAATCTTTTCTACCATACCTGGAAACTTGTCGCTAGACGATTGAAGAACACGAATCGCATCACGCCATTCTGGTACAGTCTCTTTGTGTGCCATGGCTTTGCCAATGACACAGAGTACAAGTGGCAAACCTTGACATTTTTCAGCAATTTCTCTTGCAATTGGATGGTTCTTCAAAGGGTTTTCTCCAACTTTCTTCTGAAACAATTCCCAGGCTTCATCCGGTGGCAGACAAACTACTTCCACCAAATCATCAACCTCCATGTCTTTGCAAACTTCCTTAGAACGAGTGGTGAAAACTATTTTTGATCCATTTTCTTGAGTTAAAGGTGGAACACCAATCTTGTTCAGATCTATCTCGCCCCTTAAATCATCCAACAACAGTACAAAATTCTTTCGGTTAAGGTTATTGTATATGAGAGTGGCTTTCTCTTCTTCTGTTTCTTGTTTCCATTCCTTGTCAAGCCGTAGTCTTCCCAAAATCTGATTCTGAATATCATTTCGCACATCAACCCAAATCACAATATCGATTTCCTTCTCCACTCCAATGAATTTGTTGTTGATACAAGCTAAGAGGGTCGTTTTGCCTACTCCTCCCATGCCATAAAGACCCAAAAGTCTTCGTCCATCTATCATGAGGCGATCCCATGCTTCTTTGACCTTTGCATCCAGACCAACTGTGGTTTGGGTATGCTTCTTCTCCACTTTCGGTGCACGCATTTTCTCTGCCACAACTTCAAAAACTCCTTTAGGTAGAAGTCCTTCAACTTCTTTCAGCTTCTTCGATACTTGTGCACCATAATCGTAGCTTACTTTGCAATTCTTAGAACAAAATCCAAGCAGACACAATCTACTTGTTTCAGTTGATCTATCCTTAAGGAGATCATTGACTTGAGGTCTAACACCTTCTACCCTTGAAAGCCATCCTTGGACTTGAGCAAGCCGTTGCAAACCTTTATCTTCTTCTATATTCAACTCTTATTAACACATCATCATGCCTCTCTTCAAGTTCTTGCATAGTTTTGTCCAGCGCCTCGAGGTTTGTCTCCATCATGTGAATGTAGTTTTTGTCGCTGCAAAAGCAGCCACAAGCAGCAATCAAGACTGAACCAATGAAAGATGTAATTCCCATTTTGCTCAAAGTTTTAGAAAGAAACCAGGATTACTACCAAGAGGATGCAGGACACAAAACGAGAGAAAGGGGTGAATGGGGGAAAGAGAAAGAAGAATTCAATCGCACCCTCCTGAACTGATCAGAAAATTAAAAGACAGACTGCAATTTCTATTAGTTTATTGAAAGTGGCAAATCAGATGTTTGTTCTGATGTCACTGCATCCGACACCAATAATTGATCAAACGCTAGTTTATTGAAAGTGTCAGCTTCCAGAAGTCAGAAGTTTCACATCTACAAAATGATATTTAATTGGACCATGAAATACGACAATGCTTTTTCAGACTAAAGTGTCCTTCTGATACTGAAGTTACCTTCCAATAGAATCACATAAATATTAGTCACATGAAAGTACGAATCTAAGAGACTGCGATAAAAAAAAAATTAATCAGACAATATTAATTTCACACACGAAGCAAAGGCCCATGTATATGAATATGCAGACATTCGTCAAATGCAACATTCAGAACATAAAAACTGTAAACAGGTATTCGCCAAGTATAATTTCGGTAAGAATATTTTCAAAGTGGTGCTGTCTGTAACACAAGAGTGGGGAACCATGCGTACCTTACACCAGAAGAAAAAGTCACCTCTAATTTCTTTTAGTTTAATGCCATAGCTTCCAACAAAAAAAAGTTTGATATTCATTCAGATGTTACTACATCAACATCAAGAACTAGTCTTCAGTTACTCACCAAACCATTGGCAATATGATAGTGAATGCAGAGCAGGAAAAGGGTTGAAAACTTCTGACAAGTTTCTTGTGTTTTTTTTTGTTTGATCGAAACTTCTGACAAGTTCTAACACTGGTTTTTAAACTGACTTATATGATTTCCTGATTAGCATACATGTTCTAAGATCAGCACAATTTTACTACATGAATAAAATTTCCTCAACGATGCCTCAAAAGGTTACCATCACGCAATATTGAACATTTTAGCTGTACCTTAACCCTGAAGTCGAGTACAAAATGTTCATGCCCTTTAATTTCGGAAACTTTCTTCTTGCTGCAATTACCCAACTCTAGCTGCTACTTCCCGATAAAGGTAAGCTCCTTCTTTAGTATCAATTTCCGGTATACGCTCGAACGAGTTTACATCTTCCTCTGCCATTACATTTTCTTAATTCTCACCGACGAGCATTTTTTTTTGTTTTCCCGGGAAAAAGCTAAATAACAAGCCATTAACATCTAAAAAGATGCATAGTTTTCCCCAACACCGAGCGAGGTCAATTTGAGGAATTTCTGCGCTGGGGAAGCCGACTGAGAAGAACAATAGAAATAGTTACCGGCGGCGATAAAAAAAGCCATCGGTAGAACGAAATCGAAGGCGGCGGCGACGGTAATCGCTTGGAATTTGATTGTGACGGTGGAAGTGGAAGAAGTGTTGATGGAGCGGTTTGACCCGATAACCCAAGAGTATGTGTCACTTGTAAGTTTGACCAGAACGTACGTGTCAACTATCCAACGTGTATAAATTAATGAGCATACGGTAGGGTGAAAAACACTGGATCATAGCCACGAATCTGGGTGGTCGTATTGAATTAAATTAAGGAAATTAGTGATTACGCAAAATGGAACCTATTTGCCGTTGAAGGGGCACGCAGAAAATCTGTCTGCGTCTCCGAACCAAACT